TTTAAACGAAATTGGGTGAATACATCTTATACTACTCATTCCCTGGTATTCACGAAAACAATAATTTATTTGAAAAAAAAGTATAGTAGTCGATTATTCAACTCACATCATTGTGGGAAAATTCTTCTTCTACCAGTCCTTCGTCAGTTTAAACGAAATTTGGTGAATACATCTCATACTACTCATTCCCTGGTAGTCACGAAAACAATACTTTATTCGAAAAAAAAGTATAGTAGTCGATTTTTTTAGCAAATATACGTTTGCTTCATCGAATAGAACAACTTTTGAGAAAGCAAGGCAATGTGAAATTGAATGGAATCGTCAGCTCTACTCAACTGATTGTGGGAAAATTCTTCTTCTACCAGTCCTCCATCAACTTACACGAAATTGTGTGAATGCATCTCATATTACTTCTCTCATAACAATCTAGTCAACTTAGACTGTTTAAGAGCATTCCAGAAGTAACAGTCGACTTTTCCCACACTCAAGTCGGTATTGGATGTGGCCAATCACCGAATTGCTCCCACCAGTCTTCTCGAACGATCTCGCCTGACTCGGTTGCTAAGCCAACCCGTCGTCTGGCCTGCCTCTAGAAAAGGCTCTCCGACCGCCGAGCTCCGTACTCCAGCACAAGGTTGTTGCTGTACCCGGCCTCACCGGACCTCGGAGCCACGGAGTCGAGGAGGTGCAACAGGACCGGCCGTTCAAGTAGAGCCTCGACGCGAGTGGACACGATCTGCCGCCTCACTCGCTCCGTCGCGTCTTGCGCTGCTGTTTATACAATTTGGCCGATCGGCTTCTCCAACCGGCTCAATCGGATCTTTTGTACATGCAAACTTGGTGGAGGGCGCCAGGTCTGCTCACCGCCTGTGCAGCGATGCCCAAAAGGTGACATTTGCATAAAGTTAATTAACCACAGCCTCGGAGGCTGGACACAGAAGATGGTCGACAAACGTCATGTGGAGGAACAGACGACAAGTGTTCTGCAACGGGCTCAAACACCGCCACCCTCCCCCCCACATGCGTCGGATCGAGGAGCCTGTACCTGTCGCCAAGCCTCCGACAAGCCATCATGTGGCGTCGCTTCCGGGCCACGTGATCGCAGTCCCTCTCGTCGACACACCCTCTCAGGCCGCCCATCAATCCGGTCTGTCCAAATGATCTGTCGCTAACCTGTACCGTCGTTGTGTGCT